AAATTAGCGTGAAAATGTGTGTTTCGAGAACACACATTGACGTTCACACTTTTTAAGCTACGAAATAATAATGCGCCCTGGTGCTCCATCTTCGTCAGAGTTGAAACGGTGAGTCAAGCCATATTGAACCGTTCATGTGGGCGAGGAATCCATCGACATTTAGAAGTGGAAATCTAGTTGAGTAGGCATTCGAAACCTTTCCCTATAGCGTCCAGTGAGCTGTGATGCTGAGGAACGCGAAGGTCTGAGATGTTAGTTGTCTGAACTTCCGTGAGTCAAGCGAGAGCCAGTTCTTGACTGGCAGGCATACTGTCAATTTTTCCCGAGTACAGTCTTAACACAACTTTAATGCAAACTGACAACAGCGCATATATTTTGTGAGCTTCTAAGGGGCATCGACTCCTCACCTCAAAGACCTCCTAATTTCCTATTCACACCACACACGTCTGAACGGTCTTCCTCTTGTCCTGCCACGATTATTCTGATAAGTCCTCACCAAAGGGGCGAGCAGTGAATGCGAGTTCCGGTCACATTGGAGCCCACGGGCGTTGTGTAGCGCGGTGACCTGAATTCTGGACATTGGACAGGCGACACGTGCGTGTTACCACTGCCCCACAAGTGCACATTGGAAGCACCTGATTTTTCACATGTGAACAGGCGGATGTGTTCACGTCCAAGATATGTGACCGGTTAGCCTGACGCCTAGAACCTGGTAACTGCCCTGGTTGTGTCGATCGGTCGACTCAGAACTTCCTGGTCAGCTAGTGCCGCGAGCATCTAAAAGCTGCTCGACGAAACGATTAGTCATGGATGATTACCCTGATAAGAGCATAAGCCGAGTGCAGTGTTTGACTTGTTCAGTGTGTACTCACAAGAATGACTGAGCCAGGATAAGAGGAAGACTATCCACTTGAGAGTGATAGGAAGGTAAAATCTACGACCCCCACACCCATCTGCAATCAGTCATCAATTTTGCTATACTTTTTATTATATTTCTTCTTTCCCGACAGTGACACGTCCGGAACTTGTGGTGATACTTCTGATTGTCTTGGCCATCTCATTGCTGTTCAACGTGATTCTGAGTGTTCGTTGTGCTCTTACGAAGACCTTTTTGGGTGAGTCTGTAGAGGCACACTTCTCCCGCTGGAGTTCAGTGCTTGGTTGAAACAAGCTCTGCCCCCACTCCCCTTGAATCTCTGACGTTATTTGGTCGAGTGACCTTGAACAATGTCTTGTCGGTCATAGTTACTAGGATGGTTACAGTTTTGCTCTTTATTTGTTACTCCTTCAGATCAAATGGAAGTGAGATGTATTAGTAAGTACACCATATTAGTACCCTATAGTGTGATGAAAATGGGTTAGCCTTCCCCTGCAAACAAATGGTATTCACCGGGGAAGGTCACTCTAGTTATAGTTGGATAAAGGGCAGTACCCTCCTGGAGGAACAACATCGACGGCTGTATATCAAGCAACCAGATTCATCATCATCATCATCATCATCATCATCATCATATCATCATCATCATCATCATCATCATCATCATCATCATCATCATCATCATCATCATCATCATCATCATCATCATCATCATTCTCATCATCATCATCATCATCATCATCATCATCATCATCATCATCATCATCATCATCATCATCATCATCATCATCA